ATTGCATTGATCATGAAAGACAATTGGTTCTCTTGTTTTGTTCTAGGTTGAAGTTGTTCCCCAGAAAGCTGAAGTCGAGATGGTTTAGCCCATTCACTATCAACAAAATGTTCCCACATGGAGAAGTTGAGTTGAATAATAATACCAATGAAGACGCCTTCAAGTTCAATGGAAAGAGGTTGAAACCCTACCATCATTGACAAAAGAGTGGCCTATTGGGAGAGGTGCAGCTCATAGCATCATAGACTGATCGTACTTCGAGCTATGGACATTAAAAACACTTTTTGGGAGGCAACCCAAGAGAGGTAACAATATTTTTTATTTTATTTGTCTCATTTTAGTTGTGTATTTCATTTTCATGAGTCGTGTGTCACAGAGCCGAGCGAAAAAGGAAAAATCTTAAAGGCAAGGCAGAAACAAAAAGAAAAAAATTGAAAAAAATTTGCCTCTTACCCATACGCGTATGGGGATTCCAAAAAGGCCATTTATTTAAGTCCTCTTCTCATACACACATGGAGGTCTCCATACGCATATAAGGAATCTCAAAGATCACATTTAATTTTAAAAGTTGGGGCATACGTGTATGGCCAGATGATACACATATGTAACAGTCACCTGGAAGTATACGCATATGATACATGGTCTGAACTTTACACTGATTTTTTCCTCTGCCACTATACGTATGGGATGTGTTATACACGTGTGGCCCGTTCGGGTCGAGTACCATACGTGTATGAAGGGTACGTGGCACTATATATATTTTTCTGACATTTTCCTCCCATTCTGCACCATGAGCCATTGCCATGTTTCCTTATCTGAAAAAGTTGTCTGAGTGTCTTGTGTTTTTGAAGATTTTCAAGACACATATGCTCAGTACCATTACCCATGGACACTTCTTCTTCTTCTTCTTCTTCTTCTTCTTCTTCTTCTTCTTCATATTTTGATTCTATTAGATTTATCTCTGCTAAAACCAAGAGAGATATCCATGCTACTCTGAAGAAGTGTAAGCTAACTTATTTGAACAGACATATCCATCCAGTGGCTAAGGAGTTGGTGTTGGAATTCTAAACTAATGCTTACGTACCCCTCACTGAGGACACTACTACAGAGCCTGAGTAGATTTCTTGGGTTAGATGGAAGTAGAGCCAATTTGACTGAAAGACGGCAAACAAGTTGTTGAAGATGAAGTTCAGAGAGCCTAATTTCCATTATTTGATTCAGAAGACAACTTATAGGATTTGATGGCCGTATAGAGCAAAGCTGGATCACTTGGCATTAGAGTGCAGACATTGGAAGCATGCATCTACTCCTATTCCGAGAAAGATTGCAATGGTTAATTTGAATGCGGTTCTGAAGGCGTGGACCTAATTTTTGCACCACGCTTTAAATAAGAATCAAAGTGGATCTGAGTTTATCACCATGAGAGCTTTATCGCTTTATTTGATGCTGACCTGACAGCGGTGAACATTAGGCGCATTATTTCTTCTGATATGGATAAGATGATTCAGAGTACGATGACAAAGTCTCTAGGACATGCTTCTATTATCCTCTTATTGTGAAGAAAAGTAGGAGTCGAGGAGTTTATTGATGGGCGCATTGTCCACCCGGCACGCCCAGATCTAAAAAAAGCCCAAATTTCTTCTATTTAGGTGAAAAACAAAAATTTCCCAAGGCTTGGACGATATTGCACTAAAGGAACATGTTTTGAAGGCTGGAGAGCTTAGATTTTCAAGATGGACCAAGCTTTTCATGAAATTTTCATGATTAAAGACCTAATTTCATCTCTTAATTTTTAATGTCTACATCTTGTATTTTGTTTTACTTTGATATTATAAGCAGCTAAACCCCTCAATGCCAGGGGTGTCCCTAATTCGGATTTGTGAAATAATTCTGATTTGAACCTTGTCATGACAAACTTTTTATGATATTTGATTTACTTTCAATTTGTTCTTAATGCTTTCTCTTTCATAAAAATTGAGTTTGATTTACGGTTAATTGTTGGGTTGGACCGCCTTTATTAACGCTCAATTGAAAGTATTTCATAGCAGATATCATCTAGGATTAGGGATACCCCGTGGAAACTGAAACATTCTTGATAAAAATAATGCTTAACTTCAACTGTAATTCATTATGGACATAAGAGTAAATTTTAATTATGAAAGGTTTTCTCATTAAGCACTTAGGAGTAAACACCCTTAAGGACGAGTAGTCAATATTGTTAAATTAAGTTGTTATCAGGCCAGGCTACAATTGTTGAAGAATCCAATCATACACCTTCCTTAGCATGTTCACTCATACTATTTTATTAAACCGTTCAACTAGCCTGTTTACTTTTAATTACAATTTATTTTCTATTTTCAAAACACCAATTCAAAACCCAGAAGTCTTTTGTTTAACTAATTTAGAGCACAAACTTTGTATCGTCAAGAAGTCCTTGAGATCAATATTTGGAGAATTTCCCTTATTACTATATTGGAAGATTAGTACACTTGCTAATTTACCGATCAAGTAGATAGGGTGATTAAAGCCAAATACTACACTAATAGTGACATACTGAAAGTTAAGCTAGGTAGGAGACCTATTAATCTATGAAGAACTCCCCATAACATATGAAAAGGAACAAGGTAGATATTTGGGAGGATAATTAGATTCCATCTCATGGTAGGTTAAAACTACTAACACAAAAACCCCTGTTTCTAGAGGTAATTGGAGTTAGGGACCTCGTTGAAGGGGAAAAAGGTAGTTGGAACCAAAACATCATTAATAATACCTTATCCCTATCGATAGAGAGGCTACTACTACAATATCTTTCCATAACCCTTAAATCATCGTGGTAGCTAACAAAAATGAGCATTACGGTGTTAAATCATGATACTATTGCATTAATGACTGGAAAAAGGCTGGAGACATAGAAATCGAAGACAAAAATAAAGATAAAAACTTATGGCAGAAGATTTGGAAAAGCAGGGTGAGTCCTAGATAGAAAGGGCTAATTTGGAGAATTCTAAACAAAATGCTTTCAGTCAAAGAAGAAGGAAAAATGCATGCTAATGAAACCCTTGAGAAAGCTATGCAAAGTTTCATAAACTACCTTATTTATCATACATACTAATGAAGAAGGGGGTGGTAAGAAGAATACCAAGAAGCATAATGGATGGAATCTCAAAAGAAATCGCACAAGCGATAATGAAAGGCAAAAAAATAAAACTTGTCAGTCAAGCAAATTCAACACAGGGAATAACAAAAACAAATTGAAGATGGCTAAAGACAAACAAAAGTTAGAAAGAATTGAATGTGACGTGTACGAAATATATTATGCAAAACAAATATTAGAACTTCAAACAGAATAGTGACATAAAAATCATTGTCATACAAATACTACTCCGGCTTGATTTATAAGAAAAAAAGACAAATTTCACGTTTATTAAGAAATATAGTTATGTATATTTAATTTTCTTGATTTCATGTGAGAGAAATAACATAATTACTAATATAGCCTCATTAAATTATCTTCCACTAACAATATTAAGTGATTAATGCAGGAACATTTTTGGAATAAAGATATTAAATACGCATAGATTTGTTTGCATTTATTTATATTTATGGTTAAAAAATTAGAAGACTTTTGCTTATAGATAAGACTGAAAGGAGTAAGTATAAAGGTATAATAATAAATGGAAATCACACGGTGATTTAGAGCACAAATAAGATGAACGATACCTCCAATCAGGTTCTGAAGTTGTAAGAAAAGGTAGAGGAATGCAGGAATAAAATGATGATAGGTCGGAATGATAAAGATCTTCGCAAAAACAAAAAAGAGCACAGTTTGATCACTAACATGCAAAGTGATCAAATATTAGATGAATGGGGAAAGCAAATAAATGTAGCTTACCTCAATGGTGATACGACTCAGGAATAAAGTAAAAGATAATTAGGGGTATTATAGATGAAAAAAAGTATATTGTATGAAAAGTTACAATATTAATTAGCTTTTTTTAGTATACGTAAAAAATCAAAAGGTAATACAGTAGAAACTCTTTAAATTAATACTCGGTAAATTAATAAACTCTCTAAAATAATAAATTTGTCCGGTCCCGATTTGGGCCAATGTAAAAAATTGAAAAACTCGATAAAATAATAAGATAATAATTTTTCAGGAGATTCCTTTATAATTTTCCGTCCCAAGAAAATCATAAATTAATAATTCATAGAAACTGAAAAAAAATATATATTACACTCTATTGAAATATGATTCAATAGTTATCTATTTTCCTTTAAAGTCCAAGTCTATTTAGAGCTCATCTCTAACTTTTCTTATTGCATCCAATAGCTCAGGTGTTGTATTTTTGTATAATTTCATAAAGTTGTGAAGAGTGTTTAACGCCCTAAGTGCTTCCTTTCGCGTAACAGGCTCTAATGACACCGTATCATCTTCCCCGTCATCCTCTTCATTATTCTCAATGATAGTACCCACAATATCTTCCAAACTATGAACCTCCGAACATGCTTCATTTTCACCTGGGTAGTTCATTAGATTGTCGATATCCATTTTATTACGATAGCCATGTTAATTGATCATAGTCTCGAGGTCTTGAGTTTCTTTATCAAAAGTGGATTCATCCAAATTTCTTGCAACGTCACTAGCAGAACGAATTTTACAATGTCGGAAGCAATTCACTATTGTTTCTTTTCGAACATCTATCGTCCAAGCTGGGATTTCCAAATTGATAGCATCAAAGACATTTATCTTTCCTGGATCAGATTGTCCCGCCTTATAACCTTCCAATATTTTGCGGTAAAACCTTCTAAGGTAATTCATCTTGAAAGCTCTTATTATCCCAGCATCGTAAGGTTGAATCTTTGATGTCATGTTGGGTGGGAAGAACAACAACTCAACGTTTCTTAGCTCTTCAATATTTCTTGGATGTGCTGGACAATTATCCACCACAAGTAGAACTCTTCTACCATGCATCATTTGGTCAAATGAACGAACATATTCATCAAAAAAACACACTAGTCATCCATACTTTTTTGTTAGCTCGATACTGAGAATTCAAGTTATTCATGTTGACATTATTGAAGCAACGAGGCTTTGCATATTTCCCAATAATCCATAGAGGGATTTTTTCAGAGCCATCTTCATTGCAACAAATAACTTCCGTCATCCTTTCTTTATCTTGTTTTCTTCCTTCAAGTTGTTTTGTTGCCAGTGAATGATCAACTTGTAGCCTATAAAACAACCTAGTTTCATCCATATTGAAAACATCTTTCATAGGGAACTGATCAATTTTCTCCCGAATCGATACCAATTTCTGCTCCATGTCTTGTACATCAACATACCCACTCTCGCCAAAATGACGAAATGACTTTATGCCATGTAGATTCTTGAATCTCCCAAGCCATCCTATAGAGAAGTTAAAATCTAAATCATCATGAGGGTACACGAGTTTCATTGTATCTCTTGCCTTCTGCAAAATTAATTCTCTTGTGATATTCACACGTTCTTGATGTTGGAGAAACCACTCATAAACAACCTTCTCCATGTCGGGATATTTTGTTGGTTTGTGTCTTTTGATCTCTACTCTTCCCTTTTCTATTTCAGCAGAGAGATAGTCATTTGACCGTTTATGTGTGTTTGATATTGTTCCTTGACTAACTTTCAACTGAAATTTTCCCTCAAGCAATCTCTGCAAGTCTTTTTGTGTGCTTGCAGGATTATCTCTCTTGTACTCACACAACTCCTTACGTATTTGATCTGACATAGTTAATTTTGCAACACCTTTTAGATGAGAAGCCATTTTGTGAGATATGATTTGAATACTCTAACACATTCATGTAATTTATATATGGCAAACTTGCTTAAGAATACATTGAACACATTTGTTCCTCTTGTTTACATTTACTGTACTTCAAAAGTCATTATTGATTTTCAATGCATATGAACACAATAGTTACTAATTTACGTTGAGTCTCAAGGTTTGCTACAACGTAATTCTAAGAGGCATAGACTAATTTGCCTTTTTGTTTGGTATGTACGATATAATTACTTAAAAACTCTTTAAATTAATAATTATTAATTAATCGATAAATTAATAACTCTCTAAATTAATAAATTTCTCCAGTCCTAACATTATTAATTTAAAGAGTTTCTATTGTACTTAAAAGAGAATTGAAGGAGTACCAAACAAAACCAGAATGTAAAATCTAATAGAGCCGAGACACATATGGGCCACATTGTTAGCCATTGGACCAACTAAGTATTGAATTTTGTTTGGTTGATAAAAAAAGGTTGATTAGAATTAAAAATAAATTTTAATTTATTATATTTCATTAAACTGATTTGATTAATATTAGAATTTAGGTTATTCCTTAAAATAAAACAAATCAATTAGAATCTAGTTAGTTTTTATATTAAAAAAATCTTGTTGATTTGGATTACTAGGCCACAATAAAAAAACAATTAATCTTCATATTTTAAAGAAAAATTAACAATACTAATGTTTTTTTTTTTATGAAAAAACTTGTTATCTTTATTTAGTTAAATTAATTTAAATTTTTTTATAAAAATAACGAAATCAATTTTTTATTAAAACAAAATATTTGCTTGAAAAAATAAAAATTATATTTGATGAAATTTAACACTAACATTATAGTAGAAAATCTGAATTAATAACTAATGATATGAGATATCCCTACATAATTCTTGTCACAAATAATAATGGTGTTAGCTTTTATCCTAAGAAAAATTCAAATCGTGTTAGCTATTATTAATGACAAATCTTCCACCAAGGATGTTTGTTAAAACAAATAAATAGAGTTTTAATGCCTTTGTCAAGTTTTTTCGGATATTGGTGTTAAATAAAATATTAAAAGATTTAGGATTTGTTACTATAGGCTAAAATCTTATTAGACTTTTTTTTTCCTTTTTTTGACAAAATCTTTTTAGGTTTGAACCTATTTAAACTCCTTCGAGTTTCTTTTTCCTATAAAATGATTGTATTCAAAACAAATTAATTAAACACGAATCCAATTATTTTTCTACTTCTACCCCATACTTGCTCTAAAACCTGATCAATCATTCAAGAATTCCTCCTTGCACAAAGGAAGCACTTTCCTTCTGTGAACTGGCTTATATCTTACTCAAAGTATTTTACGGTATGTCCTAGAGTTGGTATCTGCACAACTCATGTTTTCTTTTAAGCTGCCTTCATTTGTAATGGATATAGTTTGTGCTTGGGATCCCAAATATCATGATTTCCTAATATTTTCTATGGTATCTTCAGGTACTCGAATCCTTTTATGAGCAATTTGATCCAAATTTTATAAACATTAGGATAAGGGATCACGAAGTTCTGCAAAGAGAAGACGATCTTAATGAAATTTTCCAGGTGTGTTCCTTTGCAGTTAATCATCTTAATATGTATTTTTTGCAGGCTGCTTCGAAGGGAATGTAAATTGATTGGTGTTTGGAGACGCTTGTCAATCATCAAAAATTCAAATCTTGGTCTTGATAGTGAGTTATTTCATTGATGATTTTCACGGCGGCTGGAACTAAAATGATCTCTGGTTTAAGATTTGTAGTAAGTATATTTTTATTTATTTCTATGTTTTAATTTATAATATTTTTCTCTACTCCTGAACTAGACGTCACATTAATAGTTTATTATCATTGCAAAAGATGTTTCACTGGCATCAGCAACTGATGAATGATGTGTATTTCTCTCTTCTGTTGATTTTGTATTTGTGTGTGGGTATGTTCTGTTAACACTATAGTTATCCTCACATAGTATAATTGCTAGAATCTTTTATTCTTTTCTTTTACGAGTTATAAAATTTGCTTTATCCTTATTTATACTTCAGGTGTTGCTTATTCTAAATATATTGTCCACATATATTTCTATCATGGAGGGGATGATCTAAGAAATCACCTAGAGGTTTGTTGTGTCTAAAGTTAATACAAGTTCTCCAAGATCATTATTTGTCTATTAATATAATTCCAGCTTTCCGTTTATGTTCATGATATATGGCTGCTTATTTAGTTTTTGTAACTCATATTGAAGCTCATGTTAGGAGTGTCACTGATCTAGCTTTTTCTTTGTTTTTAATAAATTTTGAAAGCTTTCATTGAGGTACGAGATCACAATCCCGTTGTGAAAGCTTTTCCTACTCTTGAAGCCAGTCTAATAACAAATGTAAAAAATTAAGGATATCTGCAGAGCAAACCATTATAAATAGAGGTACGTTTTGTTTTTCAGGTAGTTGATTGTTGAAAACACAGATGTTTGAGAATGCAAGCCAAATTCATTGAATCAACCATAAATACTGAAAATTCTAGATTTCTTTTTGAACTTATTTAATTTATAGGGGCATGTGACATTCTTCTTGTCGGGAGCCCCTCATGACTGCCTGCACTTTATATACAAATCTATATGATGCATACTTTATATGCTTATTTTAGATAACTGCAATTCTATATCAAATTTGTGACCACCTCTTAACTTGCTAGAATAGTTTGAGAGTAAACATAATTAGCATAGTCCATTATTAGCTATAAAATGATAAGGAACACAATTTAAGTGGCATTGCGTAAAGAACTTGAATTGCCATCGTGATTTCAATATATGAAAAATGAAATATAAGATTTTTTCAAATTAATCAAAGATTAACAAGAAACGAAAATTATGAAGTAAAGCTATTTTACATGATTGTTATCAACTGGCCTCTATAATTAAGTCTGCGAAGTTACTTTAAATTGTGTCACTATTTGTGTGAATTGTATTTTTTAATAACACTTTTTCTAAAGTTTTATGCTTTATATTTGGCTTTGATTACAAAGCTCTTAATAGTTTCACAGTTCCTATCAAATTTCTTATCTCAATCATATAAGGGTGTTGGAATCTATGCTAACGTGAGATATCAACTACTTTGCGGATTTGATAGAGCAGTGATCAGTCATTTTGATGTTATTGGAGTTGCATTGTTCTTCAGCACTGTGACAAATTATGCATTGGTTCTTGTGATGTCCTTCCATGCTTGACAATGTTAATTTCTAGCATTTGAAATCTTCTGCATTGTGGCTCACTGTCTGAGGACTATTGCCTCAATTTATTCTTTTAATTGCCTCATATTTTTACACTTTGCGGCTCACCGTCTGATGTCCTTCCTTTGCAGCAAAGGGGTTTGATTAAAGAGACATGGATGGATGAATATCCAAGGGAAGCTATCCTAAAATACGTCGACGTTGCAGCAAAGGAGCCAAATTTCATAGCTCTAGCCTATGCCGAAACTCAACCTGAGCCATTGTTTGTGAAGTCAGATTCTGAGGATGAAGAGAAATGAGTTATGCAATTACAATTTCTGGTACTATGGATGGTCAATGCAGAAGGAACAACCCCAGACAAGAATAACTCAGAACTCAGTAGTGGTTTACTTGTTCTAAATTCAACATGCAAAGTCGAGCGTTCCCGGCACCAGGACAAAGCTTAGTTAACGCAGCCGGGAAGGATGTTGAGTGTAACAGCTCTACAAAGTTTTATAGATTTTCTTGGAGCAATATTAATATATGTACATTCTGTCATGTAAAATTGAATTTTGAAAACTATTCTAACCCTATAATCTTAGTTTTGAAAACTATTCTAATGAAAATGTTGAGACTATGCTAGAAGAGATAGATCTATATGCTTGGATTTTAGTAGGAAAGTTGTTAGCACAGACAACTTATGGGTAGCTTCAATTATTATAATACTGAATTAACAATTGAGAATCACAAATTATTCACATTCATTTTAAAAAGAAACTATCTAAACTAAAAGCAACGTATTTCCTACAACATCATCCAAATGCAAGACTTCCTACTTTCTAGCTTTTACAACGTCGAGATGGTAAAACAGCTTGTGTAGAACATCTTTTCTATTCGAGTCATTCTTTTAACTTAACATGTTGGGATAATTCAAATTGCAGACAATGATTTTTTTGCTGGCTTATTGCTGCTTTTGATGCCTGAAGAAAATGCCTTTTGGTAGGTCTCGATAAAGCTTCCTTAGATTTCTATAGTATATACTCAAAATTTGCACTTGTTCAATGTAGCTTCATAATTTTAAATGTTCCTGTATTTGTTGAGCTTTACTGTCATGAAGGAATGTGATAGAAATCTGGTATTTATAGTGAGTGAATTAAAGAAAAGAAAATAGAATTGATAGAACAATTTTCTGTAGAATTTGTCTTAAACAGCTGTTTATATTTTAATATAAAATTAACACATTTGATTCCACTGGTGGAATATATAATGTAAGCAGGATTCTTAGTATCATATTTATATTTGACTATGGATTGAGCTTTGCATATTGTCAAATAATTCAAAATCTCATGTATTTGATCTTTTTATTTCATACAAGCTTACGGTAAAATTGTATGTTACTTTATTGCTCTAAAAAATGAATCATGTATAAATATTACTTTAAAAAATTAAAAGTCTAAAATTTTGATTATGTATTTCAACCTTTTCACTATAATGTTTAAAATATGATTGAAATACTTCATAAAGTTACACGAGATACCATCAGTTAGATTCAAATAAATAAAAACTTGCATAAATATTACTCTTAATATGCATTTGAATATACTTTTTCTTGTGAAATTTGAATTTGATAAGATTATATTTTTTTTCATACCCGTGCAGACGCATGGGTCTTCTACTAGTACTTGCTCTAAAACCTGATCAATCATTCATGAATTCCTCCTTCAACTCAAGAATGTCTCATGAACTTGAATCAATCCAATCAAACACTCTTTCATTGAA